CAAATGATGAACTCCAAACGTGACCATGGCTACACAACTTACACGAATGGTTTGGTTTGTAGTAGTTCGAGGGTCTCATAGATTTTACACATGGATTTTCATGTAAAAATCAAATGTTCAGTTTGTAATTATTCTTGAGTGAATGTGCTTATTAGTCTCGTACAACAAAAATCTTGCATTGAATAAATTGAATTAATCTCAACACATACGGACATACCTATGCTTGATAATAATTTAAAAATGAAAAACGAAATCCAACATACAGCTAGCGATAGGCAACCAAAACTAGCTTTTTTAGATATACCTATCCATTTTTGTTTGGTAAAATGTCATTCAAGATTCAAGACACATGGAGCTCACAGTTAGTTTATCCAATTTTGGGTTAATGTCGTTGTTTTTGTGTAATTATAGTAAGAATGATTAGTTTAATTTAATGTGATATGAGTCATTGTTTAACCAAGAATACTTGATGTCACATGCTATATAATACATACGGACTACTCCTTAATATATTTGATCATTCAGATAATAGGTGGTTAAGGGATACATCTCGGTCACGTCTTAACACCTAATTATGAATAATGTTTTAAATTGGACTGAATTTTTTTTATTTGATCTAATCTGATCTATTTAACTTTGGACGGGTATGGTAGATATTTGTATTTGGTCCATATGCATTTTATAACCGTCCATGTTTAGTCTAGTTTAATTTGTTTAAATCTGATCTGATCTGATCTGTCTAAATCTGACGATTTGGACAGCAACTCCAATCCTATAAGGATATTTTTTTTCAATCACAAATAGAAAATCACAATTAAGGATATTTAAACTATTTTGTCCTATTTTTGAAAAATGGATGAGTTTTAATCCTATTATGGTACTCCGTATTAAAATAATTAATTTAACTCAATAATTTTTTGATTGAGTTTTAAAAGTTTTATGAACTTCAATATAAAATTAAACTATGAACATGTTCACTCGTTCATTAAGAACCCATTTGATGATCTTACTTTTAGGCTTATCAGTCAATTCAATCTCTTCAATCATAATTTCATAAATTTCACAATCAGCTAATTTAATGGATTTTGATATTACCAAACGGGCTCTAAATAAATTTATGATATCCCAGCACAACTTTAAGGGAGTGTTTGCAACAACTTAAAAAAACACTTCTCAGCTTTTGGTTTAAAAAGGCAATTATTTACCAAACACTACCAATTTTTACTTTTTCTCGGCTTGCATGTGAAAAGTGTTTTTCCTTTTTCTATCACACAAAAAGCACTTATTTTACCAAACACTGCCAACTTTTACTTTTCAAAATCACTTTTTTCTCAAACACTATCAACTTTTACTACTAATTACTTTTTCCTTACATCTTCAAAAGTGCTTTTTTAAAAGCAGAAGCAGTTGCAAACACTTCCTAAATATGTCCGCTGCTGCTACAGTAATCCATGCCATATTTCCATTGCGTACATGCATGTGCAGGGGCGGACCGTAGTAGAGACTCAAGAGGGTAGTGGCCCCTCCAACAACAAAATTTTTTAGTGTATATATACCAAAAAATAATTTTCGCCCTCCCAAAAAATATTTTTTTTAAGTTACCGCCCTCCAAAGATAAACTTCCTGGGTCCGCCCCTGTGCATGTGTGACAATTACGTACAACAAATAATGACCTCTTTTTTTTACTTGTTCTTGACAAGATTTTAGTAACCTTTATGTAGAATCTCATCAAATATCAACACAAACGCCTCCTATTTGTTTGTCGAGATTGATTTCTTCTTCACTTCTTGTATTATTTCGATCTATATGTTCAATTTTTTGGAATATACGCATTAAATACCCAAGGGCGGCCCTAGAGGGGTCATGGGGGGCCTAGGTCCAAAAAATGGAAGAAAATTAGGCTCAAGTTTAATTATTTATAATAGGTATGAGTATGATGAGTTTTCAACTCTAAACTACGGAGTAATATTTTTTGTGGTGAAATGTTTTGAAGTGCTTTTAAGTGGATTTTTTATGAAAATTTATGGACATGTTCTTTATGAGGTGTAGATTATGTCCAAAAAAATAAATTTAAATTATTGAAAAACACTTCGTTTTTTATGCATATTTTAATTTGGCACAGTGTTTTTCAACAATCTATTTCTATGACTTATTGATTGAATTTTAAGCTAAAATTTACGGACATAATCTAAACTTGATAAAAAACATGCTCATACAATTTCATAAAACCAATTGACTTGGAAGCAGATTTGTCTGCAGATATAAGTATTTGATTAGTCTATTAATTGTTTTCATTCATAATTGATTGTTATCTATTGAGTGTTGGTGTTATAATTTGTTTATTTTGTCAGACAAAAAAATTTATAATTAAATTGACACATTTAATTAATTTCAATGTCTAATAAAAATGATTGAAGCTGGTTAGGATAAAGAAAAATAAGAGAAAAAAATTAGAGAGAGTGGCGCTAAGTAAAAATGGTTCAATGAAAAAGTTTGTTTGTGTTAAGAAGTCAAATTCCGAATACCATATCCTCAATATGAGAATTATTCACAGAAAAAGAAGAATTTAGATACCAAAAATGAAATGATTCAGAATGATCATATCATTGGTGGTGAGAATTTAGGAGTTGATAATAATATACAAAGTTACCTTAAATAAGATTAAAACATTAGTAAAGTGTAAAAAATAGTACCACGAGTGTTTCCTTCCTAAATAAGGACAACCAGTACTATAATATTATTGATTTAAATAGAAGAAGGTTTTACAATTTTTTATAAATGTTTTGAAATATTATTTTTATTACTATTACGATTATTATTATATTATTATTAATACTAATAATTATTATTATTATTTCTATTATTATTATGCGTACTAGTTTAAACAAAACAAAATGTTTTACAATTTTTTTAAGATTAGGCTCATTTTATTTCTTCGCCCCTAAGGATGTTTTCTTTTGGACTGTTTTCAGTCCCAGATCAGACCAGACCAGACTTAAATAGACCAGACCAGACCAGACCAGACTTGGACAGTTATAAAATACACAAAGATCAAACGTTTATGTAATAAAATATCTGTGGATGCCAGACTTGGAAAGTATCAAATAAATGACCTAAAAAGCACTTTTATGCTATAAATAAATTTTGGCAAAGTTGTGGCACTTTTACATTTGAGTGGATAACATTAAATCCCCCAAAAAGTGAAATTAGGGGTGAGCCGGGCCGGATTGGGCCCGGGCCAGGCCTGGGCCCGGGTCGGGCCTTTTGTGTTTAGGGGAAGGCCCTGGACCGGCCCGGGTTGCCGCCGGGGCCGGGCCGCGCCTCGGGCCAATTTCTATTTTTTTTTTCTTTTTTCCTAATTAACCCCCGACCCACCCCCCTCACCCCCACCCCACCCCAAACCACCCCAAATGGCCCAGAATACCCAGCCCAACCCGGGTTTTCAAAAAAAATGAAAAAACAAAAAAACAATATGGCCTGAACCGGGCACGGCCCGGTCGGGCCGGTTCCTTATTTACATGACCCGAGCCCGCACCGGAAAACATTTGAGTGGATAACATTAAATCCCCCAAAAAGTGAAATTAGGGGTGGAGCCGGACCGGTTCGGGCCCGAGCCTAGGCCCGGTTGGGCCTTTTGTGTTTGGGGGAAGGCCTGGGACCGGCCCGGGTTGCCGCCTGGTCCGGGTCCGGGCCGCGCCGCGCCGCGCCTCGGGCCAATTTCTATTTTTTTTTCCTTTTCCTAATTAACCCCCGACCCACCCCCCTCACCCCCACCCCCACCCCCAAACCACCCCAAATGGCCCAGAATACCCAGCCCAACCCGGGTTTTCAAAAAAAATTGAAAAAAAAAAAATATGGCACGAACTTGGCCCGGTCGGGCCGCACCGGAAAAGCCCCCGGGCCGGGCATACCCGGACCGGTCCCTGGCCGGGCCACCGGGTCGGGCCGAGCCCAACAGTAGTGGGTCGGTTCCGGTTCCGGTTCTGGGTCGGGCCACCCGGCCCGAGTCCACCACTGAGTGAAATGGATGCAAGACATTTGTTCTATTAATTGAGCTCCTAAAATATCGTGTCAAAAGCAAATGTCAAGTTCTATCCGGGACGGAGGGAGTATAATAATGACATTCCAGTAATCCAGTTATAATTAATGATACATAATAATTTATTTTATTAAGTAAACAATCAGGGGCAATAGAAAAAATAGTCGTAAACTTTCACCTAAAAAACAATGTTGATTGTCTTAAATTCTACGGTTCTGGCAAGACTTGTATTTTAATTTTTTATTTTAGTGCAAATCTAGGATTGTTTAACAAAAAAAACGTCGTGATTTGTGCGCCCTACCGGATTCAGGTAGGGGTGGTCTCGGGCCGGGCGGCCCGGCCCGGAACCAGCCCGGTCACTGTTTGAACCGGCCCGAACCGCCAGCCCGGCCAGGGACCGGTCCGGGTAGGCCCGACCCGCTGGGGTTTCTGGCCGGGCTCGGGCCCCTGAAAAGTTGAACCAGCCCAGCCGGTTCGGGCCAATTTTTTTTCTTTTTCTTTTTTGAATTTTTTTATGTTTTTGAGTTGTGCTGGGTATTTTGGGCCATTTGAGGTGGTTTGGGATGGTTTGGGGTGAGGGGGGAGGGTTGGGGGTTAATTAGGAAAAGCCAAAAAAAAAATTGAACCGAGGCCTGGACCCGGGCCGGTTCCGGGCCTCCCCTTTCATGAACCAAGGCCCGGGCCCGAACCGGCCCGAGTCCACCCCGAGATACAGGAGAGTTGGGACATTGGAGCCTGGAGGTACATTGGAGAGAGGCTAAATTAAACAATTAAATTATAGATGGTACTTTGTATAAAAAATCCGATGGGATGTAGTGATGTACACTACACAATAACACCCTAGAGAGAAAATTGGAATGTAATTATAATTGTAGTATTGCACAGAGTAGTTTTGCTTATACAGTTGTATTCAAATTTCAAATGAGCATGGTAAAAAATATAATCAGCAAGAGTGCAAAACGAACAAAACATGGAGTTGGATTTAAAAGAATTATTTAAAATTTACAAAATACTCAAATGTAAAATTACACTAAAATGTGCAGTGTAGTTTGTAGACAAGCTGACAATAATGTTCATCAAATCTGGAAGCTACAGTTGATTAAAATGACGTCAAAAATTCTTCTCACTCATTCTATCTATGTAGTATGTACATATAAGCTTATAAGCCTTATATGACTAAATAATTATTACAGCCTTTGTATACTTGACCTGTAAGACCAACGTATACATAATTCATCATTTCTGGCATCTGCTCAGGAATGACTGAATGAGAGAACTAAATCTAAGAGCCCATTTGGTAAGGGTTGGTTAAAAACATCTATTTTTGGTGAAACTGTTCAGTAACATCCATTTCAACCAATTGAGTCAATAGAAAGCCACTTGTTCTGCAGATGAACCACTTTTGACTACCAAATGGAGCCCAAGACCTTTGAACTTATAACTTATAATCTGATTTCCAGAATCCAGGATGTGCATTCTTGAAGGAGTTGAAACCTTTGACTGACAGCAACATTGTAGAAGACCTCCATCTTGTGATAAAATTCAGTGAGGTCTTCCTTGCATCTGAATGCTCCGGCACATTTGCAGTGGTCTGACAGATGTGCGTCCTTAACCTGATTGCATTTGAGGCATACCAGATCCTGAAGATGGTACAACCTTTCCCTCTGCCGCACAATCTGAAGAAGACCATTTTCTAATGCTTCCCTATCGTAAGGTTGCCCGCACTGAGGTACAGCACATCTCCACTCCTGAGTAGGCAATTCTCCGTCTCGACACAAGTCAAGGTCTCTACAGTCATTGCAGTAGCTGCCAGCAAATTCACCAAATCAGGTAGGTAAGAAACAACCACTTATTATGTACTGCAGATCATTATTGTTTTTGCTTATTGGGTTGTTTATTACCTGCAGATGACATTTGGAAGGGTAAAGGAAGGTGTAGGTTTACGAAACTGTGCCTCTGGAGCAAATTCCTTCACGCGTACCAGTTTCAATAGATTTCTCTTCATCACCTGCATACCTTACACAACCATAAGCTGCAAACATATAGATCAAAGTCTAATGCCACAAAATTCCGGACTCATACAGCACTGATAAAAGAAATAAATCTCTTTTCTTACAAGAACTTCATGCTGAACATTCAGGTCAAGTGCCAAAACAGCAGAGATATGCTTAATGAACTCTAGCGCCAGATCCCCCTGTTGGCTTTTCTTACTACTCAATAGTGAACTTGCATTTGAACTCTCTCCATCATGCAGGGATGTGCGCTTCAACTGAAGACTGGGATCACAGACGATTTTCAGGAGTTTGTCTGTGAAGTGAGTTTGGATCTGAAATTACATGGTCGCACAAGTTTAGCGCATAATTGATGTGGATTTGAACAAATTAAGCACTTAACTCTCGTAGTAATAAATTGGATCCAGACATATACCTTCTTCTTTAAATCTTCTGCCATCTGCAAATCAAGAGTTTCGGCGAGTGAAGCTGTGATCGATGGGGTACATAAATCTCCATTGTTTGTGGATGCTCCTTGAGCTGCTTCGTTTTGTGCATATTTCCATGGAATATACATAAATTCAGAAACGATTAAGATGAAGTGATCCTGCAAATATAAGGAACTCAGTTTTAGGTAGACTTTAGATGAAAGATGTAAAGTAATTGAACCAATTATATCAATAACTTAAATTCTGCTTGCAATTATTAATATACTGAGCAAAATGTTCACCCAATATGTTGCACGAATATGAAAACAAAAGCGGAAAACACGACACTTGAAAACATCATACTCTGAAAGGGAAATAGTTGTTTGAAAGGTCTCCTAAAACATTTTCATAAAAGGAAATATGACTCCTCGCTAGTTTACATACATAAAGTTTAACCAATATATGAGTGGCTGTGTACCTGTATTTCCTTGGGTAAATTGTCTGCAATGTTCCAGCTCGATATAATGTCTACTTGAGAATCTCCACGTACATTTTCTGAGCTTAGGTCTGAATCGGCATCTATTGAACCATCGTTTAATTTTGCTAGAATTCCACCATAGTTATGCTGCCATAGAGATAATGGTGAATGAGATAACAAGAGCAAGATAATGATGGCGAGCTTACCGCTCATATATGTACTTTTCATGAAAAAAACACAGTGGGAGATTATAAATAGTACTCCCTCAGTCCCATTTTATAAGATACCTTTCCTATTCACTTGGTCAACACAAATCACTCCCAATCTCTTACTTTATATATCAAAATTTTATGAAATCTGAATTATTTTTTACAGGTTTTGTAGCGATTTTAATGTAGTTTCTGAATATGTAAATTTTATTTTCTAAGACTAATTTGAGTGTTGACAGGGATCAATTTGCTTTATTGTCGGTCAAACATCGTAAACCGTAAAGTGCCTTATAATTTGGGACGGAGCCCGGGGGAGTATCACACTTTTTTGTTTTCCCTTTCAGTTCCTCCTATATTTGAGATAACTTGGATTTGTATACTTGCATCCAAAAGAGAATGATTGGGAATACTAAAATAACCTGTCACCAAAGCTTCCACTCAACTTCCTCTTTATAATAAACCAGTGTGAGTGATATGCCTAGCTAGCTTTCAAGTTTCAATTATGGGTCAACAAGAGATTGTAGAAAATCTAACTGAATAGTTGAAAAGAATTCACAATATGCTTACCTGATCCATGAAAAGTAGGGAATGCCAGAACTGCAAAGGTTCAAGCTCAATCCACTCGAACAAGTCTCTGTTGATAATTACAAAATATTAAAATTACAAAATCTTTTTGTTGATGTTTTTTAAAATGTAGGTTAGGAACAAAACCTTGTCTGCAGAGTTTTGATTACATTATCACAATACGCTTTGGCTGCCGATAGATCCGACTTTCCAGTGTCAACTATAATCTTTGAGAAGCTAGCAAATACGACTGTAGCACCTAACTTTCGAATTTCAGCCACAAGTAATGCAAACACTTTTTGCATAACCTGAAAGTCAACAAATATTGAAAATTTTGAACTTGACATTGCAAGTGCATGAGGAATTTCATTGCTAATCAGTAATCGGCATGCAACATGCTTAATTTTATGAGGTAACCCAAGAATGTTCTCGATTTTTGGTGAAATCTAATGCAAAAACTCTCCACTAAAGGATCTCATATTTTCAACTGGAAGGAATGCCCTTCTCCTTATAGCATACATGATAAGACTCTTTGTTTGTGTAAAAAAATAAAATCCAGCTTGATACTAAGGGTACCTTGTAAAGCATATTGTGCAGAGCTGAGTCATGCAGTCTAGATTGGGGGCTGCAACATATGCAAGGAAAAGTTAATAAGCAGAGAAAAAGATAAGGGAAAATCATACTGTGGATCTTAGTCCACCTTGTTTTGTACAACCCACAGTGTATATTCACCATAGTTGCTAGTATTGTCATCAAAAATGTAAATTAGACTTTGCTCGTCAATTCTGAAGTAAATGTTTAAAGGTAAAGGTATTCATGCCCTCTACACCCCCACGGCATGTTTGCTGCATAACGAATACGGAGTATATAATAGATGTCTGTATAGTAATATTATACTTCGTATACAAAAGCCGAAAACGTTTTCAACAATCCCCCACCGAACACAGGCAATCCCATAAGGAGTGATATAAGAATATTATATATATATATATATATATATATATGAAATATAGCGAAAACACATAACAAAAATATGGCAGATGGATTTTTGACATAATATTGGTTAGAATTACCATCAGCATCCAATATACTGATATACATAGAAACAGGCCAACCTGCAGAGCCATCGGTACATATGTTGCAATATTGCATCTGCAAACACATTTCCTGAGGTAACTGCATCTGCAAGACACCTTTGGATCAATTGTTTGAGGACACGGAAAGCTGGTGCACTTGAGGTAGTCTCATCCACATAGTAATGGTCATGAGATACATGTGTGTCGGTATTCAAGTCATGCTCCAATCCAAATAAAGTGCCTCCTTCCATTTCATTAACTTGATTGCTTTTCAGGAGAGCATTGACCGCCAGATGATGAAGCTGATTATAGTACATACAATTAATGAGATTGTTAAACGGTGACCCCTGAATGTTTGAAATAGCTGTTGATTGCTAAAAGAAAATAAGAAAGATTGAACCTTAAGCTCAATAGTAACTTTTCTGTATGCACCAGGATAAATACGAACTGGCTGGTTGACCTAGTTTGGATAAACCTCCAGTTAGAATGTTAGATGATGAAAGCTACAGAAGAATTGAAGAAAAGAAAATGAAGAGGAAACGGAAGATATGTCATAAACGAATTCAACATAAAGTATCACCTCATCCATGAAAGATGATGCTTCTTCATGTGTGCCTCCTAAGTCCGGGATGCCGTCATCAGATATCCAAAGAATCTACAAGATTGTCACTTATGAAAGTCGAAGAACTAAATATGGAAAATTTCAAAAGACAAGTACCGAAAGTGTCTTTCACACAATAGTCGGACTAAAAGTGGAAAAATTCAAAGTTGAGTACCAAATGTGTCGCCGACATAATAATCGGACTAAAAGTGGAAAAAACTCTTAAAAAGTTGTTCAAGAAGCTTGTGACTTCAAAGAAAGCAATTGCTAGTTAAAACATTATATCTAGCAAATGGTCAAATGCGATAAGTTCCCTTTAGATAGTGCAATGTATAATGTATCACCAAATACCTTGAAGATTAAGGGCTCTAATATAACAGACCAACATTTTGGATCAAGTAATAACATTTATAGTGCAACCAGAACCAAGTAGTAAACAATCGTTAGTTTGAGCATGGGAAAACCTGTTGTTGATCACGGAGAGCTCTAGAAAAGAAGATGTCTGCTGTATGGATGAGCCAGTCAACTTCGAAATTCCCTAATGGAATCTGGCCCAATATGGATGTTAGGAACTTTCTTATATACAAATTCCTTCATGTGTTTACACAATGAATCAATTCATCAAATAAACAGAAATAAACTTTACATGAGCATATCTTGAGAGAGCAATCCTCTCAATCAACCACTGAGATGATGCTGCACATCGTTGCATTCCAATTTTTGCAGCAACAATTTGCCAACCAAGAGCCTGAACAATAATGTTTGAACCATTACCATCACACAGAAATTAATATGCGTTAGAATGCTGCTTCTGCACCAGATGCAATCAGAACATAAGTTACCTGATATTGACTATCACGAGCATTGCAAGGGATGGTCAAACAAGGGAAATCATCCAAAGCACGTACACCAGACTTAACTAGCTGTACATTGGGGCATTCAATTATAGCAACAGCAGGTCCATGATATTGATTTCTGGCAGTTACACACATGTATCATGCGTAAAAGTCATACAGAAGTCAATAAGGTTTTAGACTGAAATCTACAAAAAGCTGAAGTATGGAAGTGGGCTGGAAATTGGGACTGGAGAAATAGCAAATGAAAGCTATGCCCTTGTAGTGGTGATGGTGATGAGAAACTAACCTGTACTCATTAATCAGTCTCTGTAGGTTCCTTTCACCATCCTTGATGTGCCCAACATACTCTACCTAGAAAAGTGAAGTGTTAGCGCAAATAAGGATGTATTTAAAATTGCTGCAAGAATGGTGATGATAAGAGTGAAGCTAATTTCCATCAACTTCAAGCAAATTGGGCTCACCTTGAAACTGATACTTTCCTTTTCCATTGGATTGGGAGTAGACAATGTTTGGCAAGCCTCACGGAACTGCCTTTCAAGTATATGTGGTGTTAGTTCCTTGTTTTGAAAAGGATTAACCACCACAGCAGAAATCATTTTAGACGCAGGAAAATATCCAATAAAAACAGCTCGTCCCTCTGACACACTGAAAAGGATTTAGATGAACTCAGAACTAGATATTGTAGATATGCAAATTTATTAAGAAATCCACAGCTTGGTATAAGCATGAGTATCATGAACTGAAGCACCAAATGCTGACATTGTCGATCACTTAAAAGTTCATACTATTCTAAAACTAAGGCTTCCTTCTGATTTCCAGAATTGGTGTATAATTCTGCGAGTTAATTTCACTTTTGGTCCTTGTCTTTCACTTTATCCACGTTTGGTACTTGACTAATGTTTTTTGACCATTTGAGGTCCTTCCATCCAACTTTCAGACGCCTCTTCGTCAATTTTAACCACCGGAAATATCAACAGAAGGACCACATATGTGTGAATAGCAATAGTCATGTACCAAAAGTGGTCAAAGTCAAAGGCATGGGCTAATTATGGAATTAGTGCAATATTCGTAGAACCAAAAGTGGAATCATTCTAATTATGCCAGCATATTAAGCTCTCACAAACAAAACTAGTCAAACACTCTGCAAAATTAAATCATCATGACACACACTTCACCTATGGTACAAGTAGAAGAAAGAGATCGACTGCTCCAAATATGGGCACTCAGTGGTGGTCTTCATTTGCAGTTCAGAGAGACTCCAGCAATCTAGGGCATTGCGTTTTTTAGCTGCTTTATCAACCTTACAAACACAGCCAATCTGAGCAACAGCATTGAACTCCAATGGAACCTTCGTTTCATAGATCCCCTGAAATAATTAAACCATGTGAACCAGAATGTCATTTTATGTACATTTACATAGAAGAAGAAACTATAATAAGGGGAAAATCCTGCTGAAAATAATATTTAGATCATGCATTTTACCAACAAAACTTTAACCTCTCAAAAAAATGAAGAGAAGCCATCTGTACACTATAATGGAATACAGAAAATGACTTGGTGTATCAACTTTGAATAATATATTGTAGCTTTGCAATAATAGAACACAAAAAATGGTTGAAGAACTCATTACAACATACAACATCCAAGCCTTAGTCCCAAAAGAGTTTAGGGTCAACTAACATGAATTGACACATGGAATCGGAGCCAAAAGATAAGTGAGATAAGCAAGATAAAGAGATAAGGTAAAATAAAAAAGATAAGATAAAGATAAGGGAAAATTCCCGAAATAGGAGTAAAAAAGTTTAATAATTCCAAAATAGGACTGCCATGTTTTTATTCCCAGATTAGGGGTAATTACTACCAAGTTTGGAAAAAACTGCCAAGTTTGGAAAATACTGCCAAGTTTGGAAAATACTGCCATGTTTAAAGTCTGGTACTGCCAACAAATGGCAGTAATTAGTCTCATTTTGGGAATAAAAACATGATAGTCCTATTTGGAATATACAAACGTTAGTAGTCCTATTTAGGGTAATTTCCCTAAAGATAAATATAAGATAAAGATAAGAATGGTAAGATAAAAATGATAAAAAATTATAAGATAAAGGATAAAGAGCATAAAAAGGGATAAAAGGATAAAAAAGATGAAAAGAGATCAATCCTCCAAACAAATATTCTCCCTCCACTTTGCTCTCTCCACATTCATACTCTCATCCAACCTAAGAAAAAGCATATCACTCCTAACTCCTCTAGTTCACGACTGTTTGGGTCTCCCTCTCCTCCCCGCCTCTTCTCCCTTTCCTCCCCACCTCTTCTCCCACTTCTCAACTCGTCTAACATGTGCATCACTCGGTCTTCTAGGCACATGACCAAACTACCGCAATCGAGACTCTCGGATCTTATCTTCAATAGGTGTTACTCCCACCTTTTGTTTGATTGTCTCGGTCCTCAAGCGATCTTTTCTAGTATGTCCACACATCCAACGCAACATGTGCATCTCATCCACACTCATTACAACATAAGCAAATAAAATGTTTATATGCTTTTGGAATATATATAAACTAGATCTCTCTGGGAATACCAACCTCCACTTCTGGATCAGCAAGGTGAGCTGCGAGTTTCTTGCTTTCTGCTCTGAACTGATCTTCATCAATTATGACCTGGACAGATTAAACAAGTAAAAATTGGGGCCATGGCATGTCAAAAAAGTAAACAACTATTCAGGTAGATGACCTCAATCAAGGTGTGACTACGGCGTCCATGAGGAAGGACTTTATTGACACGTCGTCCTGGAAACTCCTCTGTGATAGAAGCTTTGGAGTTGAGATAAAATATTCTAGGGATATTGATGGAAAGTTTATGCATAACTCCTTCCACAACAACCCAAGCAAAAAGTTGACCAGATTGAGAACTTGGTGTAAGCTGAATTATCTGGAGAGGGGAGAAAAGAGGAATGAAGAAGGTACTTTTGTTATGCAGGTTTAACACTAAACTACATGAGCTCATCATATAATCTATGAGATGCATAAGGACTATAATACCTGCCAGTGACAGCGTGTAAGAGCTAATCCATGCCTTTCAAAATATGAGCTGACCCCAGTTTTACCCTGAGATTGTCTGTGGTTGGCTATGCCACCGGGAACTACAGCACCACCTTTAAGGTTGTTTAATATCTTTGAGTTATCAAGCCTAGCAGGAATAAATGTCCTAAATGAGCCAAAGCTAGATTTTCGAATGGCTAAGAAACATACTCAGAAATGATATAAGAACAGAAGAGGATTTATTACCTTAAATAGTCGATCAAGAATTCAAGATATGGCATTATTGCAGTTTGGAAAAAAAACATGACACATTGAAATTCATAGCTCTGCTTTGAGATAAAGCTATTATACTCATCTTTTACCACATATTTGATGCATTTAAACATAATTTCTTTAGACAATTGCAACATGTGAAGAGAATAACAGTATCCGGGGATTTGTGTCATTGGATCGTCAGTAACACATTTAGCAGTCCCTTTCAAGGGTTATATACAATGGTTCTTGTTATTAAATGGAGTGCTACCTGGTAAACTATTTTTTATGCTAACTCCTATGTTTTAAATTCGAAAACCATCACAATAGTAAACAGGATGTCTCTTCTGTTTTATGGATCTCCATTAGAAACAAATAACGTCATAAGATAATATACCTTTGCCGTTTTCTATTTTCACGCATCTGCTTCCATTTTCTCTTCTTTGATTGCAGCCATCCTTGGTAATCCACATTCTTGTCAATATCCTTTGCTCCTCTGCCACAATCATTGAGTACACAATCTACTTGATCACTAGTGCTAACTAGATCATTATTCTTGTCCACTCCGTGAAAATGAACAATCGGCCTAGGTGCAAACCCAGAAGATTTTCTGTTCTGCCTGAAGTCCTCTAAATCTTCAACATGCTGCTCAGCTTCCCCACTTGCAGCAGTATGAATGTTCATCTTGGACGTGTTATCATTGTTTGTTGAACTAAATATATCATTCAATTTTTTTTGGCGAAATCTGTCTTCCTTTTCGCGGACCTTTTTATGCAGCCAGTCAGGATGAGCCACCCTTGGGACAGGATTTGAAACCTAAAAAACACCTCAGTTTGGTTTTAAAAATTCATTAAAAAGATATCATTGAATAATTTTAAGGGTCTGTATACCTTCTGCATTGCAGCAGGGATAGTAATTATCTTTTGGATTGCTGAACCAAGTCTTTGCTTATAGTAAGACCAATCAATAATAGACCGGATACCGGCATCTGATGATATTTTGCACCACTTCTTTATATAATACTTCATAATTTCTGAAATGTCAAGGGCATATATATTTTAAACAACTACAAGCACAATGAAAGTAGATCCCAGTAAGATTAGGCAAAAGATTACCGGCATTAGTTTCGAAAATTGCAACAGGAACAGCCCGTTCACTAACTGGAGTTCCCTGCTCATGTAAGCTTTCCGATTAAACTTAAGAACTAAGAACAATTAAAAGGGGAACAACTGAAAAAGAGGCAAAGATCAAAAAATTTCTCTTGTCGGCATAAATTTCATGAAACTGACTGACTATAACACATGTGGCAAGGTGAAAATAATAATGATACAGCTATTTTTCTTCAAAAATGGTATCTGCTAGGGGTATTCAGTTAATTGGGGCATTATATCTTCAAAACCACACTGTGCATGACATAACAGGGTTGAAATGAAGATACTTGTGGATGGCTTGGGGGATTATATATTTGTGCATGTAGCCAACACCCATGAGTTGGGATTGTGAATTGGATGTTGTAGAAGCATGTAGAAACAGAGAATTCAAATCATGCACACCACTTAGATGCTGATGGTTTCATACTTTCACATTGCAAAAAAATATATATGATTTTGTTGAATTTTGCCACATCATATGCTTACCGGATATGTGGCTAAAGTGAGAAATATATTCTCTTGAAGAACCTTTCAAGGCCTAATTTAATATGTTATCAAAGACTGATATAATTATTTGTGTTTGGGTGTTTGAGACGCAGTGGTTGGTGTAGCCCATTTGGGTTAGTTTGGTCTATTCATCTACCCCTGAAGTTGTTCAGCCCGATTTAAATCGCAGGGCCTGTTAACCCCTGAATGTTTGCCAGGTCTGCAGCTAATATGTTAGTATGACGTAGACTTCACCTCTTTTGAGGATCCTTTTGGGGTAAAATCATCGAGTTCATATAACATATACTCCCTCCGTCCCCCTAAGTTTGTCCCGTTTTACCTTTTTCGTTCGTCCCACTAAGTTTGTCCCATACCATATTTGGTAATATTTGAGTGGTTAGAATTCATCTCTACTTTATTTACACTTTATGTCTTTATCAATTCAATACCAACCACACAATCCTACTTTTTCTTAAAAACCACACCGCACCCCTTTGTCCCAAACTTAGGGGGGCGGAGGTAGTACTTAATAGTAATATCATATTGAATTAAACCCCTAAGGTAAACAGCAATAATTAGTAGTGCTATCAAGGTGAGTATGGCATATGCAATGGAGGAAACCACTGCTATGGGAGCACAGAAAGATTAGAGTCATTAGACTACCTGGCTCTACAATGGAGAAGATTACTATGAGATTGATAGAAATAAGCAAAAGCTTATTTCAAAGACTGATATAATTATTTCAAAGCTTACTATGGCTCTACCTGGCTTCTAATGATGCACAGCGCTTGGATGCCAACTATTTCACAAGACAATATATAAGAGAACACATGGGTACACGTACACATATTTAATGACAATACACATAGAATAAGCATGTGTTCTGGGCTTAAGGCCTTTGTTGATTTTTTATTATTAATAATAACATCACTTTTTTCTCAAAAAAGAATTCAAATAGATCCATATTTGTTTAACATATTTGTGTAAACTAAATAAAGTTTGAAGCACAATCGATAATACTATTACGCAATTTACGCTTTGGATATTAATTCACATAGCTGACTAATGAAGGTAAAGCTTTTTAAAATAAAGCCTCTTACATTTGGCTCACATGCAACGATATACTGGCAACGCAACCCTTTATCTTTAACCATTGCATCCCCAAGAAAATCTGCAAGACGTTTTGCTGTGGTCACTGCACATGACTTCTGTTCACCATAATCAGCTAAAGACTTGCTCATTGTGCTTGATTCTGATATATAGTCAAGCAATTCGCTGTCGGCAATATCTTTCCCTTGGTTCTGGAAAGAAATAGTATGAAATTTCACAAATGTGTAATGCCGTTTAAATAAACATATTACTACTAGCCAATCATTCTATGAGTAGGATACTAGGATGCACAAAAAACAAAGCATTTAGTTCGTGTTGCTAGTGTCGGATGGCCGAAATTCTACCATATAGAGCCACAGTTTATCACAAATTATGTATGGTGGCTAGCATGAAATCCAACAAACCATTCCACCACGGTGCCACCATAGCCTCAATTTAAAAACACTGATTCTAACATGGTGGCATACCTCAAGCATATCAAGCCAACGGTTTGCAATTGAAGCAACAACTGAATAACATTCCTCTAATGTGGATCCATGAAGAAACTTATCGAAGAGCTCAGCCTGTAAGAAGGCAGTATTCAATATTTTAATCAAAAAGATAGTAAGTGAAGGGAGGGCAATCCCTACTATGAAAATGATAAGAAATTAAGGATTGAGTTAAACATTACCTGGAAAACTTTGATGAGCTTTAGCTCACCTCTACGCTTGATCTCAAAACCTTTTAGCTCTGCAAGTGTTCCATCATCATTGAAAACTGCATAACGCTTTTTAATCAAAATTCCTTCTTCCTTGGAAGCAGGAATAATCATTGCCTGGTTGCAAAACATATGACCAATATTTACACACCATTCGAGCTGAACAATATGATACTAGGATAGGAATATGGTAGCTCTTTAAATGTCATCATTTTCACCTTATATGGTCCATCCACTTCAAATTCAATTGAACATTCACTGTGTGTTCTGTAAGTCTTGCTGACAGGATCAACCAGAGTCTGCACAATACAGAGCACAAAAATGTATTTATATCTGCATGAAATCAGGTTCCTGGTTTAAGTGCAAGGCAACAAAGGCATAAGACAGCTTTGTAATAAAAGTGAAACTGTGACACAGGATTGATAAGCCAAATAGTGAGGTGATGTTCTCTTGCCTGGTACTGATCATTAGTATTATTCCTTGCCACGTCAACATTAAGCATAACACAAGGATATGAGATTGTCAACTTCTTCTTTGGGTCTCTGAAATATATGTTCCACAAAGATATTATCAATGCTATCATGATAAAAAAGAGTACATCATTACTAAACCAAAAGCAAGACACAAATAAGAAGCACTTAGACCAAGATAAACAAGTGTTATCACATATTTAAGAATTTAGACGGTAAAATGATTTCAATGAAAAACATGAATCGTGTTATACATACTTAGTCTTGAAGGTATAATTCTCAGGGAATGACCCTGGTAAAGCGCACCATATACCATCTGTGTCTAACTCGAGAGGTCTTCCAATTTTTTCAACCAGTAATCTTGCATTTTGGATTATTTTTGCTCCGGTATAAGTGACAACTCCTGCCATCTCCATGGAGTACCACCTCGCTCCCCTGATTGGAGAAAAGCTTTAGCATGGCATGATCAAAAGGGAGGACAGCGAAAAAAAAGGAACTTGAGAGGGGTGGTCTAATGGAGAAATCCGGGTGGACTTAAACATACTTGCGCATGACATAACCATAGAATGAATTCAGAATACATTTGTGAGCCAGCTGTAATGAGTCATAAAGGACAACCATATCCTGCAAAGGTAAAAAAGAAAAGCATTGGTTCATATTAATTTTACTGCTTCAAAACGTGAAGGAATATATATAAATGCACATATATGTAAACATGCAATCTATATACATACATACATACATACATACATACATACATACATACATACATACATACATACATACATACATACATATATATAAATGCACATTACACACACAGACACTTAAATTGTTAAATATAACGAACTTCGTATACACCTGTGCTTCTTGGATCTTTATAGAATTTCCACTAGCCTTTGCTTCTGAGAGTTTACCCTTCCAGACTTTATTAAGTCCTTTGTATTCATATCTTCTGTCCCGGAAGCTTTTGAAAAGAAGCAGAAAATGTGTAAGAACATGTCCAAAGTACTGTGCTGATACTAAGTAACAGAAATTGTGCCGCTTTCAATTAGACTTAATTAAAGGGATGATGTAAAAGGATTTTACCTGCGCACTGTATCAACGTAGAAAGAGTTTTCACGCATGCAAATCCCTGCCTCTCGGAGCTCCGTGACTGGTTTGTTAAGCACTCTTTTATAAGCCTATCGGTATTGAAAAGTTACGACAGTTAGATTTCCGTGGGAATTCAACTAAGATGACAAAATATATATAGATACCTTCTGGCAATATTTTTTTAACCGCTCTTTCAGCTTTGCTTGTTGCTCTGGTTTAGGCAGGTCAAGAAAAGATTTATGTGATTGGCCATCTACTCTTTGGACAATCTCAGACTCAAGCTGCCTCCTTAAATGATAATAATCACTGAAGTTTCGAAATTCAAACAACCAAAAGCATCAGGAACAGTCAAGTGTGGCATGTTGCCAATAATAATCAGTGAACGAGATATAATACCTTCTCTTTGCCATGTATGTCTCCCCACGCCAAACCCATTCCAGCTTTCGAAGACAATTTTTTCCAGGACGATTGAAATCACAAGCAGTGCATACCTCATCATTAACTATTGATGGCGGCTGATGGAAAAATGTGTTTCAAGTCAATTGAAAAGCACTAATCGAATATAAATACAATGTTGATGCATATCTTGGCGAGTGTAAGCGCTGATTGCATGCTTATTTAAGGAAAAGAGAAAAGCTTGATCTTATAATGCAATTACATTAGAGTAAAGCAGTGCTGCACTATTATTTGCCCTAGAAGAGCATACAAACAGTAGGCATTTAGGATTTTAGGTAATGAATAATCATAAAAACAGAAGTCACTATGCCGCGTAAAAAAAGACACCCCTTAAAAAGAAATGAAAAGTTGCAGTTAAGTGATGTTGATTGATCTGTATACCTGAAGCCTATTAGTCAATATGATGTTCGGATACATAGCTGCTACATCAAGATGATATATAAGAGGGCTTTCTTCACGTATGGGTTCATCTCGCAATTTCATAAGCTGCAGAAATGGTAGCAAAATAGAGATTAACTCATTACTTGCCTCATGTTAGAGCTCATATTCTAAGAGGTAGACTCAAGAAATGATGGATGATTAGAATTAGAAGCATGAAACTATGGAAGTACTCATTCGTTCCTTTATCAATCAATCTATATATCTCTAATTCTCTATGCAAGCATGCATATGTAAATAAAGATGAGAGAAATATTATCTCTCTATTATGTACGTAGAAGTATTCTCCCTCCCTATCTCTACGTGTGCATGTGTATTTAGAGAGGTAAGTACGGATGAACAAAAGTATTATACTACCCTCCCTCCTTCCCCCCTCTGTGTATGTGTTTCAAACTGTCAAGTAGAGATGATAGATAAATTACCTTTTCTGTGATTGCTTCCTTCACTTCATTGTAGTTTGTTACATTTTCCAGGTCCATCTTCCCCTCTACTTTTATGGCATACTGGAGATCTCGTTCAAGATTGTTTATTAGTTGCTGCAAACAAAAAGAAATGCCACTCACACTTAACATATGTGGTCCATGAAGAGAAATGGGCATTCCAAAATTCATAGAAACATGCAAACTCTGCTAACAGCCTAACAGTTTCAGTGAAAGCGTATATTTCCAAAGAGATAAGTTTAAATGGAATAGAAATAACACATTAGTATACTGATCATCTTAAAAGGCATGGCATTCTGCAAGTAAGGAATAATTAAATAGCCATGAACTGTTATGGAGTAACTTTTCAGGAAAGATGCAAAAATGTAAATGAAAGTCTTGCGAATGTTAAGTTTTCATTGTGGGGAGGGATGGGGGGTTGTGTATTAATAAATCTGTTAGATCTGATGCTTCGACGAATATAAGTGGTACTGAAGCCTCTGAAAATGAAAAGAAATTCTAACCATTGAGAAATTACAGTGTCGGTTACCTCATAAGCAGATGGATTTAGTTTGAAACTAGTTGGAAGGTCAGATCTAAAAACACCACTTTCTAGGCATTCCACATGACCACCTATGTACGTCTCACTTTCAATGAGTTGATTATTGTAGAACTTCTCTGGATCCATTTGGTGTTTATTTGGGCAGATGACATTTGCCTTGTATGCCTGCAAATGTGACAGGAAGTAGGAGTGGTGCCACTGAATTAGGCAATTAGCACACTTGATAGATGACAAGAGGATTAATAGAATTGGACTTTCTAATTTACATGGGAGGTAGAACATTAATGGCTTAGAGGAAGAGAAATATATCACTCCATCTGATCAAATATATAGGCACAACAGGGTCCTAAATATAAGTCTTTTTTATATTATCAATGCACATTTAATTTGTTCTCCACAATTGCTCATAATCAATGAAGTGTTTCTGAAAAGTCCCATTCGATATAGGTTGATGAGGACATCAAAATACTACTACCACCGTCCCAAAATACTTTAAATCTTAAAAGTTGGATAATGGTTTTGATGGGTATAATATCATGAAAGTTATAGATTTTATATTTTTATGAAAGTACTTTTAACAAAGAACATTTTCATATCATTTTTATATTATAAATAATTTCTAATAAATATATATAGATGGTCAAAGTCTTGGATATGGCTAAGTATTTTGGATAAGGGCACATGATGAAAAATAAGATTATTTTCAATGAATTTATTTACTTCATTAGTTTGTGTGAGAGACAAAACTGTGCCCTATAAATAGGGCCTGATGGAGTATATAATTTGTAAGTGTGTAACATTCTTTACGTGTTCATTGTAATGCCATAAAAAGTTAACAAAAAGGTATCAATCCTAAGACTAAGTTGCAAACTTTAGTGACATGCTCAAAAGAAGAAAATAAAAAGACTATCTTAGGAAACTAGTGTGTGGGCACACACCTGGACCATAAGAAGCATCTCACAAAGGGTCCCACTTCCCTTACGCAATACTTCATCCGGTGGCATTGGAATGATAGTTGCAAGAGAGAAAATGAATGGGTGTACATAAGTCATATACAGGTAATAAGTCGCAACAGCATCAGAAACAGAATAAGAAGCCATCATCTGAAAATCATTCAACAGACAAGAATATAAAATTAAAATCACATTGTAGAAACATTGTGTACATAACTACATATAACAATGAGTTAGTTTGAAAATACTGTAATTGAATCACAAGTTTATTTAGTAAAAAGCAGCGTTTATTCATTACAAACTATGATGGGAAATTTTAGCACCAATCAGTGCAAGTAGCTGAAATTTTATTAAAACAACTGTCTCTAAACCAATGGAAAATTAGGATCAACACTATAAAAATGAAGCATAATATCTAAACCGTACAACCATAACTTTATACTACTAGTGTGAACACTGCATAATTGCCACATAGTAGTCCAGTAGTGAATAAATATTTTTGTTATTAAAAATTTTCTTTATGCAATCACATCACAGCCTATGTTGCAAGAACCGGACCAGTAATCGACCCTTCCAGATGACCTGGTCATGGATCAACCTGGACCCCCGGATCAGCCCCCCCCCCCCCCCAATTCAAAATCAGTGTGTGCGCATCAAATAATGATACTACTTAATATTGAACAAGAAAATGTAGTTTAAAATTTTTTAATGAAAATATTAGTTCTGAAAAACATTCTAAAATATGTGAGATTTAGATGGGTGACAGATATATACATAAAGCCGGTACAAACCTAATAATATATTTATATATTTGAACAATAAATTATATTGATAGTCAATGAGTAATACCTAGGATACCTTAAAATGATTAAATAAGCATGAAATTGTTCTTGAAGTTATACTGGTAGACAGCCACAATGCTAGGTGGTAGCTTTCTTGTTCGAATCTTGGAGGGTTAAATTTCAGTATTTGTTTAGTTCACCATTTTCCTTTAATTTTGTCCATTCATTTATCTCAAGCTGGACAAGGAAGCGGGAGCTATATACCCATGCGTGGAATACTCCATCTCCTGCTGTGTAGGATTAATGGGTTTTGAGTAAACCCGGGCAGGTTTCATTAGCGGTTCGCCGGTTTCTGGTTTGAACCGCCCGGGCTGGTCTGAATCTTACAACACAGGTCAGTGGGACTCACGGCGTTCCTCTTTTTAAAATTTAAACAAATTTATACCAGTTCATGCATGTGGTATCTTTGTGCAAGGTGATCATCTCAATCTCAGTATGTGTCGGGTTTTATCCACTGTACCCAAAGGGTCCAAACTATTGACAGTACAACAAACTACACTAGTTTTGCTATTGTTGTGACTATGTTAGCTCTTGCCTGTGGCCTTTCCAGTGCAAAGCGAACCATGTCCTCTGGATTGACCTCCAGTGGATCATACCCCAACTTGGCCTTTGTAACAGCCTGCCATGGGAAAATATTAAAACAGTAAGTAAATCATCAAGTACCATACTGAAGAATCTCATGTTCCATAATTTACAATTTGGATTTAAAATATCAATCTTCTAATGGAAGAACATGGCTACAACTATCGCAGGCCCTCATTGTCGCATAATATTTGTCAATAAAAGTGAAAAGGTTAATGAAGATAAAGGTTATGAAATTCCATCTCATTATTCTTTTGTGACAAGGTTTCAACTGGACGGACATGCAGCATAAAACTTTGCCCCTGTGCTTGTTTGCATGACGCCGACCCAACGTAGTTGGGATCTTTTAAGACTTTAATAAAGGAAAATTTGACAACGCATCCCTGTTTGGGAGAAATTGGACTTTGCACCCCTTTTTAAAAAAGCTATTATTTGAACACCCCATCTGTGTGAAAAATTGAAAAAATTGCACCCAATTCTCAAACAGTTTTAACAGATGGGGTGAAAATTGATTTTTTTGAAAATAGGGTGCAAAGTCCAATTTTCCCTCAAAAAAAAAGGTTGTGACGTCAAATCTCCCATTTACTAATATATGAAAGCATTAGAGAAATACTCCCCTCCAATTTCTTAGTTGGACTTAGGAAAAGAGGTTTGACTCAAGTTATTTATTTACAATTCAAGTTGTTTACTATTTAATTTAAAGTTAGTAAATAAAATTTATATACTAGAAATTACAAGAGAGTTTCTGTTAAATGCAAAAAATACAAAAATAAACGAAGAAAGAGAAGCATGTTTTACACTTATCGCATGTTAACTTCTATAAAACTAGAGAGCATGAACAAGCATAGTAAGCAATTTGGTTCTCTTACATGTTAGTCACTTATAAACCATCCTCATTATTATCTACACTCTACAGCAATGAGCTAATTAAATAAAGCACAGAATATAGAGCCAGGGCCAAAGTACGTGAAGTACTTGAAGAGTTGAAGATTTTCATAATACAGTTTACATTACAATAAAAATGTTTGTTATCGCCATATTTTTTAAATCCATAAGAACTTATTGTGGATAGAAGTCGCCCTAATTAATATGTGAATGCAACAGCATATATGTTACATCAGATTGAACCAAAAAGTACAACGTTCCTTCATTAATTTACTAGACTCTATCACTCTAGGCATAAGTCTGATCAGAACTCGAAAGGAAAGACCTTAAAAGCAGAGAGTGCAACATTTTCTTCCACGATAACAGTGAATTAAACATACATGTGACCAAGTATAATAACTATGGAAATAGTCCCAGCAAAAACGAAGTTGTTTAGAGGTGAGTTGCTGATAGTTTGTTATGTAGGAAACTTTGAGAATGGATAATGATGAGAGATATAATCATGGAAAGCAACCAGATAGCTGTAACTCAATGGAGATGTTAATTGATATGGGTGTGTAATGCAATTTCCTCTTTTTGAAGGGTTGCTCTATCTTGTTTATATAAATGTGTGTGTGGACACATACACACACATATATGTATACATATAGGGTGAGATTCCAATAAAGAAGAAGCCTTTATGTGATAAATGAGAATGAATCTCAGTCTTTGGATTTGACTATAGGGGTGTTTAGATCTGCTTCTTAAAACTGCTTTTGCTCCTTCAGGGAGCAGAAGCACATATTGGGTGTTTGGCTGAAAGTGCAGAAGTACTTCTAGGTGCTTCAAATTGCTCCTAGAAGCAGCTTTTTTGAAGCTGGGGGGGGGGGGGCAGCATCTGAAAATTGATTCTGATTCTGTTGGGGCCAGCATCTGAAAACTGATTCTGATTCTGCTTCTGCTCTTAAAAAGAAGCAGAAGCGGAATCAAATCCAAGCACCCCCTATGTTGCAATGAAAATAACTTCATGTTACATTGAATATGTAGCCTAGCACAATGGCACTTTTGTAAGTACTTTGAAAAAATCCGTATTACATTTGTCTAGAGCAACATGAAGCTGTTTTGGTGCAACATCGTCAAATTTTAGGGCAACATGAAACAATTCTAGTGCAATATTGCAAAATTTAAATCATGTTGGATTAAGCTATTTTTAGTACAACATCGTAAATGTAACAGTTCAAATTTATTCTCATTTCTCACATTTGATACATTCTCACTGGAACCAATATATATATATATATATACTCTGTAAGTTCGTATATGTAAAGATTTGAAAGCATAGAGAATGAAGCATTTCAATAACAATATTGATGGATAAGCAATAAGATAGATCTTATTGACATGCATATCGACACAGAACCAATGAAACTAGAAAATGAACTCGATTGCACCTTTAGACCCTGACTGCCTTGTGGTAGATAACTATCACGTTTTACCCATGCAAAACAGTCCAAATGGCAAGCAAATTTAGCACGGCATTCCCCTTGATTAGTGTCACATTGAAATCCAAGCTCCTGCAATAACATTGAAGAGGATGAAAAGAGTTTGTATAATAGCAAGTGCCAAGTTTTCTATTCAATTTTTTATACTTCTCAGAACAGACGTGTTATGGATAGTGGCAGGAAGAAGTTGAAAATTATAAGCATAAATGTGGATAAAACCATCTCCAGCCTCTGAAAAGGGAACACTTATGAGAAAGCGTACATTTTTCATATTAAATCCATGATGAGCCGCCCTTGTTTCTAGGAATGGCCAATCAAAGAAGTCACCATTGTATGTGACATATATACCAGGCTTCATAACTTGCATATGGCAGAACCAGGTTTTGAGAAGCTCTTGCTGCAGAGTTATTGAAATTTTATCATCAATATAAAAAAGTTTGACTACATTACCCATAAACATGTAAATACCAAATAAGTAATTTACCTCATCTTTCACATTTTTAACTTTAAAGAACCCTTCATATTCTGGTTTAGGGGTATACTCTAGATCCTCAATATCTTCCCCAACACACTGCAAGCAAATGAAAAAGTGACTATAAATGTAACATTTGTCTATCAACTAATGCGTGCAGAGAGAGAGAGAGAACTTTAACAATGTCGCCAATTAACTAATTAGTGTCCAATGGAGTATAAATAGTAAAAGTACAGCACTCTGAGACAAAACAAGAATATATAATCTACTCCGTATTATAGAAGACCAATAGCATGGGCGTCGGGCGTCAGGCGTCGGCCTTTACTGTTAACTATATCGTTGTGTAAAACAAGCCTAACCCTGGAAGCATTTACTGAGTGTAAAATAATCAAGTACCAACAGAAGACAAGAAAACACTAAACAAGAATGCTCTTATGGATCAACTATACTTCACTGCAGATTGCACTTGAAAGAAAATGATTCTAAAAAAATTGTAAGTGAGGTCACACACATATTTCAAACATAAAATTATGACAAACCTACGATATCACCTACAATAAACTTAAACCGTTCCACTGAGTAACAGGGAAAGAATGCAATATAAATGATCATTAGACTGGAGCAGGTTATCCGTGAAGCTCTATAGTGTTTTTGCAAACGGTGGGTGATAATTATAAGATGCATCAGGGTATCAGGGTCATGTCTCAATAAGACATCGCAACCTTGTGAACTAAAGATTCTTAAGAGGGAGGTAAAACGGAATTGTTTCATGAGATTTTAAATTGCATTGTAGAAAAATTAAAAGTAAATTTAACACAACAATAAGCACCTCTCTATTAATAATAAGATATCCCTGTCCATCAACCATGTAAGAAATCATCATTACTGAGTCATATTCAGCATCAGGGAATTTCAAAGGAAGCTTCGTTGTTTCAATATCAAATGCACAGACATGAACTTCAGCACGTTGCAAGAGATCCGCCCTCCTTTCTAACACAACCCTAGAACTGTGTACACTGACGTCATACCACTGCCCACATCTTAGATCTGATAAAAAGGCTGAGAGGTTAGTCTCAAAAGGCACAAAAAATGCAAAGAATACAAGGATTGATAAAAGGAAGTGCATGGGCATTCTAAGCCAAAAAAATAAAGAAGACTACCGTTGTCAATGGCAAAGCGAACATGATAAGGTACATCATATTCACGGAGCTCAGTTATACAATCAATGTAATCTTGAATTCCATGTTTACTGCAATTGAAATATGTTATATGGACAAATTTGAGTTAGTATAAAAGGAAATGAACTGTATTTCACACTTCAAAGATGATTATAACAAATACTTGCAAATAATAGGTATCAAGAAAATAAAAATTAGAAATACAATCACAAGTCACTGAAGTTGAAGATTATGCATGACTGAACTATGTATACAGATGTATTGACATATGCAAGGTCAATGGAACAGTTAGAAAGGACACTACCTTTTTCCTGTCAAAATGGACTCGTATGCTTCTATAGCATCAAACTTTGTTTGGTTCCTTTCAACTATATGCATCAGGTCACTTTTCACTTGCATCAATTGTTGAACAGTATCAAAAGATATCTTCAAATAAGATTTCTGTAAGCCAGACAGATGGTTTTTCTGGCATAAAGAAATAATTTATTAGCAAACAGTGTTGTGGAACAAAATATGGTAAAATTTAGAGTATAATTCATGCAACTCAATAATGCTAACTTGAACTCCAGAGGCTTACTAGATCAAGATCCTCTTTTTCTCTAATTTCAATATCAGCAATTTGAGTCTCATACCGCCTTCTCAAATATGCTTCGACTTCCATTTCCATTTTACTCTAAAATAAGATATTGAAGTATGATGTCAATTCTTCAATACAGCCCCCGAATTTTACTATCCCATTAATATATACAGTGCATCTATGAACTGTACTACTGACCTTCGTGGCAACATAAAAATATGGCCGGAATTTGTACTTGGCTTTAAAAGTCGAACCATCCTTCAATTGCATGTAAAAGTAAGTTCCCGGGGAGAAAAAAATAGCATTTCAATTTCTCACCATTAAGTAAGGGGAAAGTTTGTAACTTTCACGTTTCTCTCATTACCTGACAGACAAAGTATAGATCTACACAACTGTACACTTTATGAGTCTCTTGATCCTCCCAAGACGACTGCGAAATTCAATTAAAAAATAAGGGAAATTCAAGCAAGTATGACGTGTTTGGTAGCTAGCTTTGGAATTGCAATGCATACTGAGGCGAAAGTGAGAAGCCATCCTAGTCTCTTATCCCCTACGGTGAAGAGATCAAATCCAAGTTTGGACTCAAGTAGCTCCTCGGCGTTCAGTATGAGCTTCTGTTTTTTCGAAATTCTGGTGTCTCTCCGTTCACGCCACCGGCTATCACCTCCGGTTCCGTTCATAACTTGAATGGAGGAGCTATGCCTGAATATGATAATGGGAAAACCCTTCTCTCTGGGACGAAGACTACGTATTTCCCGCGCATTTCTTTATGCTTTATTTATACTTCTCACGGTTAAAGTTCCAATCTTTAATTTCCAAAATAAATAAATTAGAAATTTATTTATGCTTGTCCTGTCTGTTTAAATTTGGTTTGGTCTGAATTGCTCTGATCTGGTCTATTCTAATTTAGTCTTGTCTATATGTATTTTATAACTACGTAAGTCTGGTCTAGTCTGGGACTGAAAACAATCCAAAAGAAAACATCTTAATGATCTTGTAACTATTCATAACTAGACGAAGTATTTATGCGATGCATGGGGTATATCTATAATTGAATAATAACTTATTTAATGGAAAAAAAGACAATAGAGTTTATGTGTTGTAACTTTTATAGTTTTATTATATACGGAGTAGTAGCTCTAAGAAAATGAAAATTTGAATCGCATAAAAAATTATAAGTAAAATTAGAATAAAGAACAAGGTGTGACAATAGCTCTACATGATTATGAAATAGCTTGATAGTGCAATTATTAATGGGGGTCTCGTGAAAATTTATACTACCTCCGTTCTTAAATAAATGCAACACTTTGAATTTTACACTATTCACATGTTCTACTTTGACTACATTTTATTTATTAATGTATTAATATTTTTTTATGAAAAAAATATTTTTAAATTCACCTCATTGTAAATTTTCAAAATCTATTTTTTTAAACTTTTTTACTAATACAAAATTTTATATATATATATATATATATATATTAATGGTCAAAGTTGTGTCTCGGCAAGTGTGGAATGTTGACCGTTGCATTTATTTAAGAACAGAGGAGTACAATGGAACAACCATCTACGTTGACAATATACAAAAAAGGTTTCGTAAACTTTGAAAAAACTTCTTTATAAACTCCATTATTAGTCATGATGATAGCATGACCTTTGTCATCACATCTAATAATCTTCAATCCAGCCATTGAGGTGACCATTGACATGTCAACACACAATTGATCATGTGAAAAAACAAATTTTGAAAGATATATGTCCACCTGATATAGAGATTTTCCTTGATTTGTTTTATATCTTCATGACAATTAGATACTGCCTGTGTTGAAATTTGAATGGGAAATTTTCTATATGATGGGACCGATGATAATTGTGGAATCAAAACCTTTTGGCAAATACTTTTGTTGTGTATAATATTCATCTCCAAAACAAATTATGCAACTGAATGATAAAGCGAGACTCATTATACGACCTAAAGGAAGGGTCAATGTTTCTCATTAACATAATAGGAACCCCAACATTTAGTCTCAATCTATGGGTTGCTATCTCTAAATGCCATCACACATCGACGTTTTACCTATTACTCCATATCCATAAAGAAAAGACACATCAGCATTATCTCAAGTGACACACATGCTCTCAACACCCAATTAATATATGATCTCCTATATATTATTCTGTTCAGAAGTCATGATTGACAATAATTGCAAATGTTCAACAATCTAGATGGAAACTGAGTCATATGTGAATGAAAGCAATAAATTAAGAATACATATATGAAACATAATATAAATTGATCGTCAGAACCTTTCCATGGCTAGACAATTTCATTCATCTCGCCAGGTCCATCACGTCATGAGAGTGACTCGTCACAACAGTGACTCGTGACGGAAGCGACTCATCACGGAAGTGATGACAATATGTAAGAGAAAGTAATAAACTAAAAATGAAACAATTTTAAGGGTACCGTATTGCAGGTATTTTAGAACTTGCCCGTCATCCGACTACATGCCCCCCCCCCCCCCCCCCCCCGTCCAACGATTTCAATCATCTTGTCTTGTCTGTCTTGTCATGACACGACGACTTGTTCATTTTGTCTTGAATAGGATAGATTTCCCGTGCCTCCCGGCATCAAAAATTTGAAGAAATTTGTTTGCTTAGTCGGGTGACATGATCCTGCCTTTGACGTTTTGAGCCCGCAAATAATTTGACACTGTTGACCCTATCAACCCCGTCAACCGTCGATTTTGTCAAATGCACCAATGTGATATCTCCATTGACTTCAAGACCCGAAACGTCCCTAAAACCTGTCATATCGTCGGCCTGCATGCTCTCTTTCCTTGAGACTCGTTGGATGATATGTCCGTCGAATCAAACCATCATAATTTTGACAATGTCAAGGTTGACATCGTTTTTGGACTCTTTGCTGCATATACACGATTAATATGATTCATAATAATAATAATAAAATAGATGTCACTTTCCTCGAATAATTTCACCCTCAACTCTTTGACCATGGTGAGACTCGCAATGAGCTCTTCACATTCGACTACGGTATTTGCGGTTTTGGAATCACAATGAGTTGTTCGCGAAATATTTCCCCCTTGCGGCGATTTTCGAAGGATTTTTTTATTTGAGTAGAACTTACCAATTGTTTTACTTTCGAAAATGCACACAAATACCCAACCACGTAAGGAAACTCCAGAGGCATATTTCGATGAAACAATCACTTCGTAGGTGTACACTTCTATGGTTTTCCCAATTTGATTTTTGAACGCCATCGCCGCTAGCCATCGAAAGTTGCCCCCTGCATACTTAAGCTAATAAGGTGTTGTTGAGTTTAATGAGATGAAACCAGCGGTGTTGGTTGGTATATGATCAGTCGACAAGGCAATATGTTTCGTTTCTTCTTTCATAGATTTCGATTCCATCTTGAATCTCGCCATTAACATTGAGCCATGACCTTCCATGGATAGTTTTTCTTGCACGAGGCCCCACGGTGGGCGCCAAATTGTTTTAGCAAAATTTTGACAAGCTAAAACTAATTAAGAAGAATATTATATGAAGAGTGGATCTCGTACAAGAACAAATAAGGAAGATGACAAGTGAGTGAATAAGAGTGAAAACTTGTGTATTATTCGAATGTTTACCTGCCCTGATTACAATGAGGGATATCTTATTTATAGGAATGGTAATTAATGCTCTCTTGATGGCTTTTTACGTTAATGACGGGTTGGCCGTCCGTTAGTCTGTTACTGACGGGTTGGTCGTAATTTATGACGAATTCAAATTTGTCATAAAGGCTAGTCAATTACACTTAATACCTTCCTTAATCACATTAAAGAGCGTAATAATGTACAGAAAACGTTACAATATTAAAGAATGAGAGTCTTGGATGCTTCATTGACTCCAGCTCAAAATGGGCAACCTCCTGCCTTAATATTGTTACTAATTGCAATAATAAACACAAATCCGTTACAACAGCCACCATTAAGCCTCATGAACGTATCATTAACTTCCGTGGTCAACCCTTTTTAATGCGACATTAACTTCCAGAGAGTGGTTTGGAGTAATTACCTCGGGTCCTGCAGGGCCGGGGTGTTACGGAAGAGGCTGAATGGGTACACCATTTTCTAGAGGATATTCCAAGTTGGGAAAAGCTTGTCCCTCCAATATGCATACATTGTGATTGTCAAGCGGAAATTGGAAAGGCACAAAGCAACTTATATATTGGTAAGTCTAGACACGTTCGTCGTAGACATAACACCATTAAACAACTCCTCACAACGGGTGTTATCACTGTTGACTAAGTGAAAGTCAAAGGATAACATATAGCGGATCTGCTAACCAAGGCATTGAATAGAGAATTTGTAATACCCGAGATTAATTTAAGAGGATTAATAGTACTACTCATACAAACAGATGTGCATCTCCTTTTAAGAGAGCTCATCAACCAAGAACTCCAAAGTTAAATCTGCTTGGACGGGGGTAGTCTTGGGGTGGGTGACCCCCTGGGAAGTTTCTCAGGTCGCGCATGAGTGAGGACAAAGTGCGCAGTAAAAGCTATTGGTGGTTTGTGAGGACAGTACTAGAGGTCCGGAGTAACTACCTCAGGTCCTGCGGTGGCCGGGGTGTTACAGGTGGTATCAGAGCAACCCTGCGACAGTGTGCTGATCCGTTGGATATCGGGCAGACACTTAGCAGGGGAAAAGATTATGGGTTTTGATTGACATTGGTTTAAGGGCGCAACGAGGACATTGCGATCCTAAGTGGTGGTGATTGTAATACCCGAGATTAATTTAAGAGGATTAATAGTACTACTCATACAAACAGAGGTGTATCTCCTTTTAAGGGAGCTCATCACCCAAGAACTCCAAAGTTAAATCTGCTTGCACGGGAGTAGTCTTGGGATGGGTGACCCCCTGAGAAGTTTCTCAGGGCGCGCATGAGTGAGGACAAAGTGCGCGGTAAAAGCTAGTGGTGGTTTGTGAGGACAGTACTAGAGGTCCGGAGTAACTACCTTGGATCCTGCGGTGGCCGGGGTGTTATAGAATTGTTGGAGAAGTTGTCACGAAAAAGATAACATAGCGGATCCGCTAACAAAGGCATTGGATAGAGAATTGTTGGAGAAGTTGTCACGAGGAAGGGGACTAAAGTCCGTGAATTGAAAAGTTCTATAGTGGATACCGAACCTAGTTGATCCTAGGTTCAAAAGGGACAACTAGATTATGGAGCGAATGATGGTCATTGTGGGGGTCCCGGACTCCTACCCATTCCTCCTTGAAACAGTGACCCCCACACGAGGTTAGCAAAAACGTTTGCTTTAATGATTCTAAAATGTTTATCTACCCGATAACATTGGAAGAGTATGCGGGATACTCGTGAAAGAATCACCTTTGTGAGAGAGAAGAGAGCCGCTTCAAAGGAGAATTGTAAATGCTCAGTTCTTTAGAAACTTTTGCAGAATCAGGACGGTGACCCATGGCCAAAACGGGCACACCCATGAGAACGGAACAAAGTTGGAAGGTTCTTGTGTAAAGATAAGTCAATGTTTACACGACGGCAGTATAGTTCAAGGACATTGAGTCTACTAGACAGCCAGTAAATAAACGTGTCTTTACAGCGGAAGGTTCAAAGGATAAAACACACCTCTCCGTATGCAGGGATCATCCGGTGAACACAACGCGTCCTCCTATCTTCGTGTCTTTTTTAAGTCTCGAAAATCAATTTTCATTCATGTGGGGGATTGTTGGAAAATGTGTTAATAAATTGCATTAAATGGTCATTTTGGGGCAATTT